CCACGCTTACGTGCTCTCTAATCGATTGCGGCCCCGCCCTACAGGCGCCCATCTGGTTGAATCAGAGGGTAGACACAGTTCAAAGGTACATCGAAGCTAGCGTGTTACATGAAAACCGACGTCTACATTTGATTTGATTTGCAAAAGAAAAATGTTTTTGTACTACTATGCGATTAATATTTGTGCTGCTATCCAACTATGTGATGCACAGTTTTGGATTCTTATTGTTAGGATCACTTGATCGAGGGGATGCTTGATGAAATTGGGATAGGGTCCAACGCTTGTTTGTGATTATTGTTTGTGATTATTATTATTATTGTTTGTGATTATTGTTTGTGATTACATATTGTCTACCACCCATCTCCCCATATTGTGTCAGTATTCTCGAATATGGCGAAAATAGCTGTGCTAACGCCAGCGCTTTTTGTATATCCTAGCAGTAGATATACAAAAAGCGCTGGTGTTAGCACAGCTGGGATGTAGTAGCTCGCTCAGTCAATATAGCATGACACTTCCGTTCCCGAAGCGTGCAAGTTTTACAAGGGCTACAAATGTTCGATCAAACCTTGCTTCGACATACAAGAGCAGGGAACATTCGGCCTGCTGCATCACATGGAAAATTTGATACCGCAGCAAAGTATGAGCTTTCTTGAGCAAGAAAGGCATGTACGTCATTATGAACTGTCTTTGAAAGGCAGCAAAACCATTACCTTCGCATTCTCGCTCTTATGAATATGACAAGAACATTCGACCACTACCCGTACAACGCTACTGAGCACGAGTGTACTAGCGAGTGTGGCACTCTAAAGCGGATGCGCAAGCTCGAGAATGCTCTTCTTTGTCGTGAGGAGAAGATATAAAATCGCAAAAGTGTAAGATCAGCGATGAATAGTAGCAAGTTACTCGTGCATCCAGCAGAGACCAACTACAGAAAGGAGAAAAGCTTCAAGAGACGGAGAGATCAAGGAAACGAGATTATGAAAACAAAAGACAATAAAGATCTACCTCGTCTTCATACTGCAGGAAGATTCTGAAGTTTGTGTCCTGTCGAAATACAGGGTGTGCAGCAATTCTTTGCAAGAACACTTCATGCATGGCCACGGTCTTTTTGAACTGAGCCAGATAGTCCCTGGACAGCACATTTTGATAGCAAACACGAAATTTCAAAACAGAAATAAAGAACAAAAGATTGTGAGAAAGCGCGATATAGACGTACTGTTCAAGCTCCTGCTTCATTTTCAAGAATTCCTCTTTTGTCATTGTTGCTTCGCCTTCTCCAAGTTTCTGAAGCTTCTCGCGAGATGATTCAAAATCTGGATGAGGAGGGGCTGGTGGTACCTAGAAAGAACTGTGTAACCTATGCTTATTTATCGAGCGATCACGCAAAAATGAGCAGAGCATATGAATGTCCAAAATAAAGAGCGTCATAACGAAAAACTTACAATGAAGCCTGCATAGCTCTCGTTCTCATCTAGAACACTATGCAACCATAGGAATTCCTCATGTTCGCGAACAACAGAAGTCTCAGGACGCATGCCCGGAAGCCGAGTTTTTGTGTGCACCGTATATTTCACCTACAAATGCAACTGTGTAAGCTGGACATAAAAACGATTACCCACATAAACAAATTTTGTGCGAATAAAATCAGAATTCGCAAAAAA